TGCCTTTCAAGACCGTATTATTGATCATCTTCAATGATAAAACAACCCTTACTGCTTATTGTTAACCTAAATAAAACCCCACCTCTTATGTAATGCCCGTCCTAGAAAGGGGGGCCTTTAAAGTAATAAACTGAACTGAACTGAACTGAGCATACTTAAGCATAGAACTTGACATTCACTTAGATTGGTCGTTGCATGCATCTAATGGAACATTATCAACTTGGAGCAGCACCTTTTTATTTGCCTGCGCGAGCAAGCTGAAAGGGTAAAGTAAGGTTCATATACGGCACGAAAGGTATAATGATTCTGCCACCGCGCACTTTTTATGGCGTTTATTGCTCAGCATACCTTTTCTAGCATTTCTCACTGTAGTGGAGCCCGATGCCACTGAATATGCTTGCTATGCACTCAATTTATACTTACACATAAGAAAGCAGTTAGTTATGCATGGTGCACACTGTATGTTGCACTCTTTGTGAAATTTCAGTCATTCTTCCTTGTGTACTTATTTTAGGCTTCCGGGATTGAATTTCCTCTACAGAAAGAACAGCTTCGCCCCACTTCTCTCGAAGGCACCAGTCATCTTAGCAGCTGAAGATGATTGTGCAAGCAGCAGTGACGAGTGGTTTTGCAGTTAGAAGTGTACCTACAGTGACATTACATTATAACAACCTTAATTACACTAACTTGTCGAATGTTCTCTTTTTTTAATGTCGAAATTTTTACTGCGAGATGTAATACGTGGTAAATGTGTTTCTAGAAACTCGCTTACTCTGTCTACGTGTTTTTTTTTCTATTGTATAGGTGTCAATCAAACATCATACGCCTCAGTCGTTTGCCCGACTAGCGCAAATATTTTTGAAAGTTGTGGACATTTATTGTATTCAAAACAATGAATTTTTAGTATAGAGAGAAAGAAACTTGGTCACGTGACTTGTTTCAAAATTTTTCAGAATGCCATCAGAGTCCTTCTTTTCAGAGTTGCAGTTTTTCTATAATAAAGACAGATGTTAACATAAGGGCTTAATTGTTTTTTGCTTCGGCGTTATGTTCGGTTGAACCTTACGCTACAGGTTGCTGCTTGCACTACTGTGGTGTGGTGCGTGCGTGCGCGCGCGCGCGTGTGTGTGTGTGTGTGTGTGCCTTCCACGTCTTGGTCGTTTACGGCCCAGTCTACGTACACATACATACACTGGTCTCGTGCAGCTCATTCAAGACCATGGCACCTTATTTTGTCAGCCGCAGAGAAGGTTCATATATGCTTCTCCCTGAGAACAATGGAGGCTTGGGCCAGTTGGTGATGCATATTTGATGGAATGAAGTGCTATGAACGGCTCTCCTCAACACACAAGTCTAAGCGTCACCTCCTGTGTCTCTGCTTTTGTTGCCTGTTAATTGCGCTTCATTTGATCAAGTATGCTCATCCATATAACTGTCAGCGTTTCAAGAAGGTTTTCAGTGTACACCCCTCTCGCATGGGTATGCTTCATTCAACACCCATAGTTTAGGGGTGTTCACAAACACCTATTAAAGTAGTGTGTAACGTTTCTTTACACCCTACGGTTCAGGGTGTTTCTAAACGCATAATTGTTTAGGGTGTTCCTAGACACCCTTAAAGGGTGTTGCCCATGGGACAAAAGAAATACACCCTTATGGGTGTAAAACTTTTTAGAGTGTATGTAAGCAAACTTTCTTTCCTAACTATACAGAAAGTCTGGACAAGGAAAGGCCTGAAACCAAAACCGTGCAGGTAAAATTTCACTGGGTAGAAATGACACAAGATGAATGAGATTCGAAGTTCACTGAAAAGGGGCTGTTGCTAGAACACATTTCGATCATCTCCATAAATCAGTAGCTAGCTAGGAATTTCTTTCAAGAGAAAGGGTATGAAATACACGTGATGTGTTTCTTGTGGCTGTTTGCATGCGTGTTGACATACATAATGAAAACTGAAAATTTTTTGTGAGGTGCCAACTTTAACCCCGTTCCTAAACCAACTGGTGCTACAAGTGCACTTCTCTTGACAGGTGCGAGATTGTATTGCCCGCAGCGACATCACCTGTTGATAAGGTTTTCCATACTACCGAATCAACTAAGTGTAGATTCGAAATTTTCGGCTAATATCCATCGCAGGATACTGGCGAAGAAGTAGGTCTCAACTTTCCCCTTATCATAATTCTTGTTTAGACAGTATCTTTTAGTGAGGAGTAATTCAATTTGAACTGCACAGATTGAGCGAGCTGTTGATACTGTGAAGTAGATTATGACATGTGGTAGGAAGCAACTTCCTAAACATATTTGATATACTGAAATCTGAGAATTACTGAGGCAAACACACTTTGCCGAAAAATAAGGTGATGCTAGCCGCAATCTTTGTCTGTGGGATTGTGAGGCCATCATCATATACACGATCATAAAAATTAAAAAGTTCTATTGCCATTCCTCTACAGCTGAGTCTCTTAAAACTATTATGACCACCTAGGCAATTGCGGATTAAAAAGGAATGAAATGGCGGACTCATTATTTCAACGGCATTGCATAGGCCAATACTTTCGTTTTTTTTATTGAACGGTATAACTGGGATAGTATAGAGAAAGTTTTTCTCCGTACAGACGCCATAGAATCGGAAACACCCGTGGACATTCAAAATTATACATTCAGAATTTTTGAGGAATAGCGAGTGTTGGTCTGGCAATATCACACCAGAGTAGTTTTTGTTCAGTCAAGTGAAATAACTAAAACACCATTTTTGTCATTTTGCCGTCACAGGTTCCGAAAAAAAGACTCCTTATTTTCTCATTCGCTAAGCTAGGGCTGAGTGTCGCAACTGACAATATGCTTAGATTTGGTGCTTCGGCTCTCGGCTTCAGCCACGGGGGACTTCTGATTCTGTTTGCAGTTTTCTTCACGGAACAAAACGTGCGCAGCTTTCAGTTCCTACATGTATGATTAATAATAAAGGATGATTTGGCAAAGCGCGAAAATTCGGTGCATTAGCACTAGTTTGTAGCGCTACATTTATTATTTTCTGCATGCAAGTCGCAAAGATGCGAAAACCACATTTCATGTCAAAGCCGCCGCATCCACCTTCCGAGAGAGTGACAAAAAAAACGGGGGGAGGGGGGGCACAGCCTTTGACGTCGTGCAGAGTGGAGCCTAATGCTGCCACGTGGGCAACAGGTTGCAGACTTCTGGCGCACACACTTAGGAAATGTGCCCCCTAGGAGAAAAATCATAATTGGTAATCGAAAACGAAACTTTTTGTACGAGTAATTGCTTCCCATTGCTATAATACTAATACCTATTATCTGTATTATCAAACAAGCTAGTTGTCACACTCTTCCGAACACTCTTCACACTCTCGAAAGCATTCTACAAGATTACCTATCCTTGGATGAAAACGGGTGTGCAATCTGATTGATGACGACCACAATTTCCAAAGGCATTCATACACGTACGTATCTTGCAAGCAGTCGAACTCGGAATATGTCTAGAATTTAAACTCAACGAACTTGGCAAATGTAGAGAGTTATCCGTACCTTGAGGTTATTTTTCTAATGCTCTAAATTGGTCGGATCACATCACACGCGTAGTATCTGACTTATCAAAAAAGCTTGGTTACATCCGAGGAACTTTATGCCTATCACCTCCTACAGTTCATAAAATTGATTGATGATTGATTTGTGGGGTTAAACGTCCCAAAAAGACCATATGTGTGTGAGAGACGCCGTAGTGTAGGGCTTCGGAAATTTCGACCACCTGGCGTTCTTTAACGTGCACCGAAATATAAGCACATGGCGCTGCAGTATTTTCGCCTCTGACGAAAATGCAAGCCGCCGCCGCAGCGATTCTATACTGCGACTTGCGGGTCAGCAACCAGGTATCTTAGCCACTAAACCACCACGATGGGGCAGTTCATAAAATTGTGTACGTAACCTTCGTTCTTACTAAGTTCGAATACACCTCCTATATTTGGAGTCCTCACAAAACCTTCCAGAATAATGTGTTGTAACTTGTTCAAAATAGGGCTGCCTGGTTTACTACGTACAATTACCATCACTAATCCGGCATCGCTTTTATTAAGGAGTCTTTAGACTTGCAGAGTCTAGCTGACAGGTATCAACTTTGTCAACATAAACTATATTGCATGAGCTTATTTCGTAAGTATTTATTATTTTTCTCACTTCCATGGCTCTCTCTTACTTGCTCTATTCCGCTACTCTCGCCAAAGATTTAGTTGCAGAAGCCTCCAGCGCCCTTTCAGTAGGACCGTTGCATTCAATAAGTCATTTCTTCCTGTCACCATCAAGGAATAGAATAACCTTCTGGAAGCCACAGTCTCACAGCGCGGTTTGTGCGCAAACAGCCACTAACGGCTCACCTGAACTTGAAAGCCTATTACTCTACCACGGCATATTTGTATAAGTGTATTTTATACGCGTCTGTTCTCACAAACTGCAAAAGTATTGCTCCTGTATTTCTACAGTATTGTTAGTTTTATTAGTTTTTTTGTATTCAGTAAAACGTTCTAACCCTTTATGCTATGCCTCAAGGGGGCCCTTAGGGTATAATTATTTATGGTAATAATGATGGACATTACCAATTAAGTAATACACTGACACTTGCTTTGCTGAATTTTATTCCATAGGTTGGAATGTCGAAGCTTCCAATAAATTCGGTTCGGTTCACGTGGGACTTTTTCGGCTCAAGGTCTTCTTTTTTAGTTAACGATGAATGCTTTTCTTCAATTTTCGAGGCTGTGCATATTTCGAGGCTGTCCATATGTAAATCATGAAAGGGAATAAATATTGTATATGTGACGATTTTCGCTGCGATGAAATGAACACAAGGCATCACTAATGTCGTTCGGAGGCAAGTGCTCTGAGATTTGAAAGGAAACTTCTGCCCAAGTTTGATTGTCAATGAATATTACCAAAACAAAGTGTACTAAGGAAATTTTGTTGCTTTTATTTTGAAATACAATATTCATTATTTTGCAGGCACTGGAGACATTCGAATTGAGTGCGCTTTAGCGGCCGCCTGACGCGTACGCAGAGCTGGGGCATGAAGGCGGGTCGCAGGCCGGTAAGTGATCTCAAGTCTGAGGCAGTGATAATCTGCACTGCAAAATATCCGCGCACTGTCATCGACTTGCCTTACCTCAATTCGAACTAGTATTCTGTTTGCATTGTTTTTGTTTGAATAGCTTCTCTGTGCATGGCAATTATCAGTGAAAATGTTTTGCAACGGAATAAACTCTGCAGACTGGGTATGATGCAGCATGACTGGCAAAGTACAATCATTAGCGAAAACACGAAACGCTGTTTTCGGCCAAAAATAATTAGTGGTATCCATAGTAATTTCCTTGCGTGAATAAATGAATATCAGTTTTTTAATTAGTACTTTGTTAATACATTCAGACAATCCGAGTGGTAACCAATCAGAAAGGTTAATAATTTCCTGACTGTACATATGCCACCTATTATACTATGCACGATGGCTTATGGTAGTCATTGAGAGAAAGAAGAAGGCTGTGGCCGGGTGACAATAAAGGTTAATAATTTCCTGACTGTAAAAATGCCACCTATTATACTATGCACGATGACTTATAGTAGTTTTTGAGAGAAAAAAGAAGGCTGTGGCCGGGTGACAATCACCATAGTGGGTATGCGCCACGATCTATAGATGAACAAGAACAAAACAAAGCGGTGATTTTCGCCGTTCCACTCTACTTTTCTCTTTGACGACAAGACAAGGAGCCTTAAAAAGCAAGAAGGCAAGCAAATAGCCGACGGGAGTATAAGCTACGTTGTTTCCACGATACTACAATCAACAGATTTTTCAGCTATGAGAACTACAGACCAGGTAAAGGTTTTATGCGATTATGTTGTTTGAAATGACGCCGCGATCGACTGGCAGATGCTCACGAATACGTCATCGCCGTTTAAAATCGAGCCGCCCGGAGCTTAAGAGCACTTCCGCCAGGATCAAGGACTGTTGTACTCAGTATTACCGCGATAGCGTCAGAGAGCTCGTGTCGCAGAAATTCCGCCATTGGCATCGGCACCGTTGGTTGTGAGTGAAGAATCGTCCGTGGGTAAAAGTCGAGAAAGAAGCAAATAATATGAAGAATAACATTTTTGGTCTCATTGCTGATTGAACCTTGGCCATTGGCGTGGCAAGCAATTGTCGTACCACAAAGCCACGATGTTACTTGAAGCGGTTTCGAGAATAACGCTACCCAAATGCCATGTAGTGAAAGGAGTCGCCTTAGCTTATTTTGTTCGGTAGGTGTCTCAATGAAAACGAGCCCATTCGGCGATTTGTTAGGCGTATTTAGGAAGACCATCAAACTACGTCAAAAAAGGCCGGGATAATGCAGCCATCGCCGCTAAAAACACAAACGAACTTTCAAACAGCTCTAAAAAAGGACAACTTTGTCCATCTAGCGGAAAACATATTATGCCTTTCCAGAGGCGTTGATCAAGCAAACAGCAAACGCTAAATATTGTGTTGCCATCTCTGAGGCATTATGAGACTCTTCATGCTCTGATGAGGCGAGTGCGTGGCGTATATCTTGGAGGCCATGCGACTCTTGCTTCAGATCAAAAACCTGTATGTACAATTTCCGCGCACGCACGTAAGTGTGTGTCTGTGTGCCATCTGTGAGACATTGTGAAAAACGTGTCTCGACTACAGCAGAACGCCGCTCTAGCAGAGGGAAGTGCCTAGACTACAGTCATTGCATTGCAATAGATACGTCGTGCTAGCGCACACGCGTTGGTAGATTGATTGATTAATTGGTGGTGTTTAACGTCCCAAAACCGCCATATGATTATGAGAGACGCCGTAGTGGAGGGCTCCGGAAATTTTGACTACCAGGGGTTCTTGAACGTGCTGCCAAGCCAGAGCACACAGGCCTACAGCATTTTCGTCTCTATCGAAAATGCAGCCTCCGCAGCCAGGATTTGATCCCGCGACCTGCGGGTCAGCAGCCGACTACCTTAGCCACTACACCACCACGCCGGCGGCACGCGCGCATTTGTGTGTGTGTGTGTGTGTGTTTGCGTGTGTGTCGCACACTAAGGGCAGGATTTCGCTACCAAGTTCAACTCTTAAATGCGAAGCTTGAAAGTCCCCCAATTTTATTTCTGTCAAGCAAGGGGAAAATTCGTGCTAGTTGGTGATTCACGCTTAACGACAGCTCAACTACCAAAACAAGAATTCAAGGAATAATGGCGAATGAGTCACCGTCTAAATCTTCCTTCGTAGCTGTGACGTAACGAGCAGCGACACTGGTTGCGTGTCCACTTGCTACTGGCGACCATAATGGGAAACGAGGCAGCCAATGTTGATACTAGTCTGTGACCTAATGCTGTCGTCATGCAGGCTTTGCGTCTGCTTGCGCTGTCGTGGCTACGTAATAGGAGGTGAACTCCAGTTATTGCATTTCATCAGTGTATGTTGCCACCTTTTTGAAAATATTCTTAGATTTTAACTTGAACTGATGGCTTGGTGTTTGTCTTAAAAAGGTCCGTATCAAAACACAATTCATTCATTGTAGGTAAGAAGAGTGCACGTAATGACAATTTATTTTTGGACATATGTTCATCACGCCCGAAATATACCCATCACGTGAAACATGACATCTATAGATTGTCACACACAAAGTGAAAAACAGTTGACAGCGATGCAGTTGCGATTCTTTGTGTGCAATTGAGTATAATATTTCTTCTGTCGTCAATATAAATACAGTATAGCCAAAAAATCTGAACATGTGTAATTTCACCTGGTTGCGCTTTCAGTCGAAAGCTTATAACATCACAAGCCATGGTTAGTTCTCACTTGTTCAAGTTCATTTCATAGATTAATTTTCTCAAGGAGAGCATCGCAAGTGTTATTTGAAGATATTGGATCATTGAGATGTTATGACTTTAGCACCGAAAAAAAAACAAAAAGCTTTACAAGCGTAACAAAACAGCCGTTTGGGCAGGTTTAGTGACGGTTAATTGTGACTGCAAGAAGTGGGGCACAGTAAGTAACGGGGGCTGGAAAAGAACAATTCAGGCGCACACTCGGAGTTGGAACTTTTTTTGAAGAGGCAACACATATTTTTACCTGGGTTATAATGTTAACGAAGGCAACAGCTCGTATTAGACGGAATGGGGGAGGGTGGATAGCGGTAATTAGAAAGTCCCATTGCAGCATAACACTACACTGGCACGGTCAGTGGTGAACAGAGCATTGGCCGCTGATCAACTACCAAACAGTGAAGCTCGTCGGCAATTATACAAGTACCGTCGAAGATTCCAGCATTAAGTGTAGTGCCCACGTAAGTGCCAAAATATTCATAATGTCCGCGGCGGGTGCGTAATCTCAATAAAATGATTACGACAGTCCTGCAGCTTCTCGAACACTTCAGACACCGATTCCACTTCACATTTGTTACAGTTTTGTATGCGCATTACACTACCGCTGCATAGAAATTAATGTTTTGTATGCGAAGATTACGTAGGGAAGGATGGCGTCACACGACTTTGTGTTGGTACGTCGACGTACGTGGCCAGCCAATCAGCGATAGTCTTGCTTAGCCGCTGGGGGAGGCCACTGATCTCGGTGTAGTACGCTACCGTACGACGGCGGCTTCTCTGGCTGTATTCAAAGATAGTTTGAGTTAGGTCAGTAATGAACGTCATACCTCTGTCGATTATGAGCACCTATGGTGCACGAAGGCGCCGGACAATGTTTTCAACATAGAACTTTATACCTCGGCAGCACTACTTTTGAGCAGTGCCTTTGCCTTGGCGAAGCGGGTGGGGTACAGATTAGCAAGGACAATCAATGTGATTCCGGAAGTCGACGTCCGGAACGACCCCGCTTAGTCCATGCCTATTATTAGGAACGTATGGTGAGGTGGTTCGATGGTTGCACGTGCAGCTGGTTTAGTTGGTGGTGCCTTCCGTCGCTGAGACTCTCGGCACCTTTTTACCTAGAGGGTGATGTTGGCAGTAAGGCAGGGCCGGTAGCCCCTTTCCTGTATCGCAAACTTGCGTGAAAATTGAAGGTGCCCAGCCGTCGAGTCAACAACCAGAGCGTCCAAAATTTCTGGACGCAACGCCGAGGGTACTAACATGAGGTAGTTGGCCCGATGTTGTGAGAAGTTTTTCTTGAGGAGGTTGCTGTTCCCCAAGAAAAACGTTGCGAGTCCCCTGGTTGATTATCTTACAACAACCGCAGCTTTGCCCTCGAGGTATTACATAAGGCCACTGATTTGAGGGTCCACTCGCTGTCGTTCGGCGAAGTCATTGACGTTTCAGGTTCCCAAGAAGTAGTCATTGCCCTCGTCATTCTGTGGTTGTGGGTCAACAGGTGTGTGAGACAGGCAGTCGGCGTCAGAGTGCTTTTGTCCGGATTTGAGAGCGATGGTAACGTCGAATTGCTGAAGTCTTCACATTGCGTCGCGCAAGACGCCCTGAAGAGTCCTTCAAATTAGCTACCCACCACAAGGCGTGATGGTCGCTCGCAACTTTGAAGGGACTTTCATATACGTAGGAGCGAAGATTCTACGTAGCCCAGATGATCGTAAAGAAAGTCTGCTTCTGTTGTAGAATAGTTGCCATCTGCCTTCGATAGCAACCGGCTAGGAAAACTGATAACGCCTTCTTCTCCGTTAGTCTTCTGCACAAGAACTGCGTCATGACCTACGTTGCATGCGTCAGTAGGGAGTTTTAGAATACCGTTTGCAAGCACTGCGGACATTCCGGGCGTAGTGGGCGCCATATGAGCTTAAGAATAGCGTTTGCCCTGCCGAACAGCAACGCATGATCGCAGCGACACCGTAGCCTCGAAACAGCACTTGCGGGCTACATGCGGGCTGCCATCACCGCCCGTAGCTTCGAAATCAGCGCTTGCGGCCCACATGCGGGCCATGATCACCGCACGCAATTTCAGTTTTTTGCATGCGGTCCCCGAACGTGAACGCCGACTCGCGTTACGACGCATGCGCAGTGGCAGTGACCGCACCACAAGGGCTCGCGGTGCGCTGTTCTAAAACTCCATAGTGCGTATTTCCGTATCGGCGTATT